GCGACAAGAGGGGCTAGGGGGCTGGGATTGGGGACGAGAAAGAATATTAGGGGCCCGTTTAGGAGGCGGGGAGGAATTTGGGGAAGCCAGAGATCATGGGGGAAGCTTGGGGGAGCCACCGGAGGAGATTGGGAGGGCAGGGGTAGGAAAGTGGGGTGAAGTTTGGGGGGGGGCCAGGATGGGTGAGTGAAGGAAGGCACGGGAGCCTGGAAGTTAAGGACATTCGAGAATCTCAAGTGGCGGGTTTGAGCGCAGAGAGTTTAGGGCCGGCCAGGCGTACAGGCAGATGTTTGCAGTGTCGGGGAAAGAGTTGAATTGTAGGGGGTACAAGGAGGAGGGTTTGGGGGAGATAAGGATCCCTGAGGAGAAGGCTGAAACGGGCCGGACACAAGGGTGAATCAGAGGAGGGGGCACCCTTGCCACTTCCAGGCTCCTGGCCGGAGGGCCGCTCCCTGCCCATTGTCCCTTGCCTGGCCAGGAAGTCCGGTGACATCTCGAGGGACACGACGTCAGGTTATGTAACACCGCCAGGCCCAGGGGAGGGGCCGGAGTCAGGACTCCCGGGTTTCTCTCCACACCCTGTGGGTCAGGATCCCGAGCAGCTTGTGACTTCACAAGTGGGAGGAGTCCACCAGAGTCACAAACTCGTTTTCTTGCTGCCACCCACACCACACTCAGATCTAGGACTGGGATCTGAGACCCTGGGTGGGGAGAGGGGTGTCCCTAGTGATGCTGTTGGCTGAAGCGGCCTGCTGTTCAAGGCTGTTACACAAGTGTAAACTAAGTCCCAGAGAGTGCTGACCCCTTTCATTTGATCCATCCATTCATTCATTCAATGTGTACTGAGCCCCTCCTGTGTGCCAGTTACCATCCTAGGTGATGGAGACACAGCAGCAAACAAAACAGAAGTCCTTGAGTCCAGCAGTCCCTGGATTAACCCAATTCTGTGCCCAGACTGCATCCTAGCCACACCTCCTTGAAGCCATACCTCTTTCACTAGATACAGCCCCAAAATATGGATTCTCGCACCCAACCTCTGGGAGACCCTTCCCTAGTGCAGGGGTCAGAACACATCTCTCAACTCCTGTGTCCCTGGTCTCTGCATGATTGTATCCCTATTACCCCCTTACCCCCACCCCATGGCCTGTCACTTCCTCCTATTCTCATCCCCCCCACAGGGCATGACTAGAGATGCTGGTTTGAACAGGCAGTTGGCGATTCACTCAGATGTCATAAGAGCCTGCTGTGCTATCATAGTGTCCCTGAGATGTCATCAGGCAGCCTCAGTCTCCTCCTATAAACACCTCTGGGGCCCTGTGGGACTGAGGAGGAGACAGTGCCCTGTTTCCAGTGCTACCTCAGTCCCCCAAAGGGATTGATTGACTTCCATTCAAACCCTTCATCAGAAGGCTCTGGGAGGCACCTTCCTGGCTCCTCTCACTCCTCCTCCAGGCAGCCTTCCTTTAATTCAACTCCCTGCTGCCCCCCTCCAGTTCCCTGGGCTCCAGCCATTTGGACCTTCCCCCTCTGACCTTACCCACTCCCATGCCTTCAAGTTTGAAAAGCCTTCAAAGCCAGGCCCTTGAAAGGACACACCCCTGCACCTCTCCAAGCCTCAGTTTCCACCTCTCTAAAAATGGACATAGTCGTGCCTGGCCCACATACTGGGTGGAGTAATTTGAGCGAGGTCACTTCTGTGACAGACTTAACACAGGCTGGGGACATTGTGAGAGCTCAATGAATACTATTGGCCAAGGTACATAAGAAATAGTTAACAGTAACAAGTGGGGATCAGAGGGAGTAGGGAAATTTACAAAAGGGTATTCTATACCTTGAAAGAGTATCTGGCAATATTTTCAAAAAATTCATTTTTCTTTTAATTTAAAAATTACCATCTCTGGACTGACTTTGAAGCTTATCTGGGCACCCTCCACCCACATTTGCTCCTTCCTCCTACTGAGTCTCATCTCAGGAAGATGCCACCATTCACCCTGCCACCTGGGCTGAGACCTGGACCTTATCCTAGGGGCCACCTTCCCCTCATAGCCTCTCAGCCACCAAGTCTGGTCCTTCCTGTCTCTTGACTGTCACCCAAATCTGCCTTTTCCTTCTCATCCTCCTCCCTAGGTCCAGGCCCCCCCCCCCCTTGTTCACAGTCTACCTCCAGGATGCAGCCAGAAAGTTCTCACTAAAGTATAAACCCTGTCCCTCTCCTCAGAACCTGACATAGCTCCCCAGTACCCTTGGGGGAATACTCCAGGCTTCTTACCACAGCCCATGGGGCCTGTTTGATCTGGTCCTTGCTGACTTTTCCAGCCTTCTAATTCATTGATCCCAAATACATGATTCTTCTTGCCTTAAAGGATCTTCCAGTTCAATCTCCTTGCCTGGTGGCTGAGTCCCTCAGCCATCCAGATAACATAACAATTGGGCACCTGGCTGAAACCTGGTGTCTTCTACAGACAGGACCTTACCACCACTTAAGGCTGCCTTCCATCCACAGCCAAGCACTTCTGCCTGAACCAACTTCTGTCTACTACACCCTGCTCCTTGAGGCCACACGGGACAAGGCAGTTTCTCAGAGACTAGAAGTTGCTGACTAGAAGGTGTTGCCTTTGAACCTTAAAAAAATGCATGCGATGTAAGATTCTTGAGGCTGATTCTTGGAGTAGGCACTGAAAGAGCCACAGAATATCAGAAGGGGAAGATGACTTAGAGGATCAAGATGCAAAAGGGGGGACCTAGGCTCAGAGGGAGCAAGGTTCTGGCTGTTTTCACTGCCTGTAGCTGCTGTGTCCAGTCACTGACTTGCAACCCAGGAAGGAATCATAGAATGGGGATTGGTGATCAAAACGATGGGTGCCAGGCTGGGCTCCGACTCTGGTGACACAGAGACCCCAACCTTGGTGAGAGTAGACCTGTGTCTGTCCCCAGTCTGAGCCCCAATCCGGGCACCAGGCTGAAACCCAGGCTGGGCACAGGATGAGGAAACTGGCCCAGACTCAGACCTGAGGCCAACATGTCCACTATAGAAATAAATCAAGAAGTCAGAGCTTCACCCCAGCCGTCTCTCTGCTTGCTGGTCTTGTGTCTGACTTCCTGGGACCTCCCATCTTCCTCTCATAGAGGTTGGCTGAAGACTGGAAGGAGTCGGACGAGACTGGTGCTGTGGATAGGGAGGGAGAATAGGAATAGGGCTTCGGGGTGGATAGGTTAAGGACATAGTGGGGGACAGAGCTGGAAATAAAGATTAGGATAGGAAAGGGAAGGGGTAATGGTCAGGGATGAGGGATTGAGAGAGGGGGCAAGGAGATGGAGAATGTGGGGGGATGGTGGGGAGACAGGAGGGATGAAGCAGGGCCGGTGACAGGTTGGGGGATGTGGGCTGAGGTCGCAGTTGGGGTCAGCTCGAACGCCAGGACGAGGTGGGGACGGCGGGGCCCGGCTGAGCCCAGCACCACTGCCCCCCCCGCCCCCCGCTGCCTGCCCTTCCGCTCCCCGGAAGCGCTGAGTCGTCCTGCCTTATCTGGGGGCCGCTATTTCGGGCTCCGCTCCGAGTGCGGCGACTATTTTTAGTTGTGCTCGGGTAAAAATGGAGCCGGCGCCGCGCGGGTTCCCGAGGCCGTGCGCGCCCCCTCGCGAGAACGGGGGCCCGGAGCGCGCGCCTGAGTCACCGCCTCCCTCCGCCCCCCTGCACAGTGAGGAGCACGGATCGCTGGCTCCGGACACCCCGCATCCTTCTGGGTCCCTGGGCGCCTGGAAGCCGGCAGGCTCAGAATATTCCAGGAACATCCGGACGTGTCCACTAGGGTTCCAGCGGCTGATGGCGGACTTTTGGGTAGAGGCGCCCCTGGTGGCCCCTGCGGGTATCGCAGGCAGGAGCTGTCCTCCCCAACCCCCACTCCCCACACACTCCTATTTTCTAAATGAGGAAACTGAGGCCGAGAGAGGAGCTCGTTGGGGCCTTGTAGCCTGAATTGCAAAGCACGATCATTCAGCTTCAGCCGGGACATCTCCCTTAATGGAGAATTCACTACCTATCGGAAAACGGGGCACTATTTCTTTTTATTAGTAGTGTTTATCTAGCCCTTCAACACATCTTTGTCAAGGGTCAGCTGTGTGCCAGGCACTGTGCTAGATGATGGGAACACAGCCGTGAACAAGAAAGAGATGTCTGTCCTCATGAGGTTGACGTGCTAATGGGGGAGAGAGACAGTAAATACGTCAGATGATTTCAGATGGTGACAAGCACTTGAGGGGAAAGTAAAATGGGATGGTGTATTCAAATAAAGGGTATATTTTAGTAAAAGTAGTCAGAGAAGGCTTTGCTCTGAGGAGGTGACACTTAACTGCAACCTAAATGATGAGATCAGGCTTCTAAAAAGACCTGGTTTAATTCAATTCCTTCATCCCATTTCACAGATCTGGAGACAGAAGCCTGGAGAGGACCCAGGTGGGGACTCAGCTTACAGAATGTAGACTGCATGAGCATCCACTGCGTAATTGTTCAGCTTCAGGTTGGTCCCATCCTGTGTCCTCCCAGCACATAGATACCATTCATCAGCAGTAGTAGTCATCTTGGTTACTATTTTAAAAACAATAGCTACCATGTATCCAGCACCTACTCTGTGCCAAGCACTCTGCTAAATACCTCAGGGGCCTTGTTTCCCTGAATCCTCACCCTGAACCTAGGAGGTGAGGTACTGTTCCATGCCCCATTAACAGATGAAGAAACCTGTTTCCCATCTCCCCTCCCTCTCGGCCACATGGGAGGGAAAGGAACATGACTCAGGCCTGGCCAATGAGAGCATTCCAGTTCTTCTTCCCTCTGATGACAGTGATTGATTCAGGGGTTGGCGTGTGATCCATTTGGGCCTGTGCGTGATAGAACCACTGGGCAGGAGACCTTTCTTCCCACTAGAGTCACTAAGAGAGTAGGGTGTGAGCGCAGAGCTGCTGGTGCCATCTTTGCTACCGCAAGGAAAGTCTTCCTGAGAAAAAAAAATCAAATATGGAACACAGAGGTTGGACAGTGACTTCATATCATAATTTGAGCTCCTGGACCAAGCTGCGACTGAAGGCAGTTTTACCCCCTTAATCTTTTTTTTAACATGAGCCAGTACATTTCCGTAAACTAGTTTGCACTTAAAGCTGAGAGACTCCTGATTAATTCACTTTCCCTCGCCAAGCCACCCCAGGAACTGGTCCTGACACTTTCCACTGCCCCTAGTCCTTGAGAAGGGACTACTGTAACGCCTGAAGCCCCCATTCATCACACACTGCTCCTGTGGAGGAATGGACTGCTTGTGTGCATCTAGGCTCCCCCGCTGGGCAGGCACTCCTGCGGGGGCTCTGGGTCTGCTCATCTCTGTGTCCTTAGGAATAGACCCGGATAAGAACCTGGGCACCCATGCTGCTCTCTTGGGCAGGGCCACTTACCACACAGTCATCGCTATCTGGTGGTAAGGTTACCTGACTGTACCCTCTACTTATTCCCACTGTTAGGATTTCAGCCCTGTTTGAGCTCTGAAGGCCTTCCAGTGTCAGTCCCCTGCCACCATCTGTCCGTACTCTAGACCTAAGCATCTAGCAGTTCTTGGATGCCTCCCCCTGGATGTCCCACAGGATTTCACCCTGACCTCAACAACATTCTTCCTGTGCCTCTTCCTCCCCAGGTCTCCAGTGCAGGCATAGTCCCACATCGGCCCTATTTCCTGGCCCAGAGGCCTGGGCCTTGTCTGGATGTCTTCCTCCACTTACCTCCCGTGGCTCATCACTCCTTTCCTTTCTATCTTTTAAAGATTTTATAGTTTTTCCCTTCTCCCCCTCTCTACTTGATCCCCTATCCCCACTTATGCCTGCCCTACACTCCTCCCTGGTCTCCTGCCTTAGTCCCACCAACTGTCATCTAGAAGGATTTTGCTAAACCAGAAACCTGCCCTTGTCAGATCTTTCCCCTGCTCAGAGCCTGCTATGGCTCCCCAGTGCTCCAGTCCCTGGATCTACAAGGCCCTCCGTGACCCGAACACTGCTGCCTCCTTTCCTCCACGCACATTCACTCCGCCCTCAAATAATACCCAAACTGCTTGCCTGCTCCTAAATGCATCATGTCCCAGCATGCCTCCAGACCTTGAACGTTCTGTTCCCTCTGCCCAGAATACCTTTGCCATCCTCCACCTAGTGAATATTTTCAGTCCTTCAAGGTCCAACTCAACCATCCCCTCCCCTGAGAAACCTCGCGTGACTCCCTCCATCTAAGCTCGCCCCCTCCCCTCAAGAAACCGGGTCGGTGTGGCTCTTTCTCTGCTGGGCAGTATGTGCTGGGCCCTTTGCACACAAGGTCTCATTGGGACAGAAACTGACAGTCCCAGCTTCTGGATGAAGAAACCGAGACTAAGCGGGGACAAGTGACTCACCAAAGGAATCACAGGCCTAAGAGGGGACAGAGTCAGGATTTGAAGGCATAACCTCACGCAGCCTGGCTCATTCAGTTCTCTCGAGTATTTATCTCAGTTTTGTAAGTTTTTATTTTATAACATTCTTAATAGAGGCACACATGTATATTATTTATGAATAAAAAATGTACTCCACATACAGAGTCCTGGGTGGCATTGTGGCTCCTATCAGTTAATAGCTTCCTCATCCAGATATGAATGAAGCAGGGAATTCAGAGCATCCTCTAGAGGCCACACTAAAAACGTTTTTTTTTTAGTTTTTATTTCAATTACAGTTGACATTCAATAGTATATTAGTTTCAGGTGTACAACATAGTGAGTAGACATTTATACCTCACAAAGTGATCTCCCTTATAAGTCTAGGACCCACCTGGCACCATACAGAGTTATTATAGTATTAGTGACTATGTTCCCTATGCTGTGCTTTACATCCCTGTGATTGTTTTGTAACTGCCAGTTTGTATTTCTTAATCCTTTCATCTTTTTCACTCAGCCCCTCAAGTCCCTTCCCACCTGGCAACCATCAGTTTGTTCTCTGTATCTACAAGTTTTTTTCTGTTTTGTTTGTTAATTTCTTTTGTTTTTTAAATTTCACATATAAGTGAAATCATGTGGTATTTATCTTTCTCTAACTTATTTCACTTAGCATAAAACCCTTTGGGTCCATCCATGTTGTCAGAAATGGCAAGATTTCATTCTTTTTATGGCCGAGTGATATTCCATTGTATATCTGTCACATCTTCTTTATGCATTTGTCTGTCGATGGACACTTAGGTTGCTTCTATATCTTGGCTATTGTAAATAATGCTGCATTGAACATAGGGGTGCATATATCTTTTTCAATTAGTATTTTGGATTTCTTTGGATAATTACCCAGAAATGGAATTGCTGGGTCATAAGGTAGTTCTACTTTTATTTTTATTATTATTTTTATTTTATTTTATTTTTTTACAATCTGCTTGTTCCATCGAATTTTTATTTATTTATTTATTTATTTTGTTTTAATTGGGGAGTTGGGGGAGGGGAACAGTGCTGGGGAATTGGGGAAGGGGACCAGCCAAGTTGTTCTTCAGTCTTCATTGTGGAGGGCGCCAGTCGCCATCCAGGTGCCTATTGTCAGCTTGTAGCCTCTAAGCTCAAGGTGCTGTGTTACAATCTTAGTTGCAGGTGGGCATAGCCACCATCCCATGTGGGAGTCAAACCAGCAGCCTTGTTAAGAGCGCATGCTCTATCCACTGAGCCATCCGGGTGGCACCTCAACTCAAGGTGCGGAGTTCAGTCTTAGTTGCGGGTGGGTGTAGCCCTCCATCTTGAACGTTGCGGGTGGGTGTAACCCTCCATCTTGAACAGACAACTTTGTTGTTAGGAGTATGTGTGCTCTCACCAGCTGAGCCATCCTGCCACCTGTTGGCAGCTCAGCGACAGCTCAGCTCCGGTGCAGCATCACTGGCCCATGTGGGAATCCAACCAGTGGCCCTGTTGCTCAGAGTTCGCACTCTTAAGCTAACTCTTAACCAACTGAGCCACTCGGCTGGCCCCAATTTAGTTCTATTTTTAATTTTTTTGAGGAGCCTCCATACTGTTTCCCACAGTGGCTGCACCAATTTGCAATCCCACCAACAATGCCTGAGGATTCCCTTTTCTTCATATCCTTGCCAACACTTGTTTGTGGATTTATTGATGATAGGAGTGAGGTGGTATCTCATTGTGTTTTTTATTTGCATTTCCCTCATAATTAGTGATGTCGAGCATCTTTTCATATGCCTATTGGCCATGTGTATGTCCTCTTTGGAGAAATGTCTATTCAGGTGTTTTGCAAGTCACATTTTTGACATGAATATCCGTCGTTCTGCTTGGACATGTTTCTGACATGGATTGTTCCAGAACATCACAAGAAATCCCAAAGCTCAGTGGCAAACAAATGGCACCCCAGCACCCAATGTCTTTCCAGATGGAGAACACACTGATGGCAAATTCCACGAATCAGAGCTGTCCACAAGAAATATCATGAGAACCATGTGTCTAAGTTTAAATTTCTTAGTAGCTGCACTAAAAAAAGGAAAAAAGAAACAGATGAAAATAATTTTGTTCATGTATTTTATTTAACCATTGCATAATATATGCAAAATATTATTTCAACATGCCCTCAGAAGCAGCAATTATTTTTTATTTTTTTAAAGATTTTATTGGGGAATTGGGGCAGGGGAACAGTGTTGGGGAATTGGGGAAGAGAACCAGCGAAGTTGTTGTTCTTCAATCTTCGTTGTGGAGGGCGCCAGTTGCCATCCGGCTGCCCATCGGCAGCTTGTGGCCTCTAAGCTCAAGGTGCTGAGTTCAGTGTTAGTTGTGGGTGGGCGTAGCCACTATTCCATGCGGGAGTCGAACCTGGCAGCTGTTTTAAGAGCGAACGTTCTATCCACTAAGCCATCCGGATGGCAGCTCAGCTCAAGGTGCTGAGTTCAGTCTTAGTTGCGGGTGGGCATACCCCATCATCGAACAGGCAATCTTGTTATTACAACAGCTGAGCCATCCTGCCACTTGTTGGTAGCTCAGCGACAGCTCAGTTTAGGCGCAGCATCATGTGAGAATCCAACCGGCAGCCCTGTTGCTCAGAGCTCGCGCTCTTAAGCCAACTCTTAACCAACTGAGCCACTCGGCCAGCCCCAGAAGCAACAATTATTAATGAGATAGTTTACATTCTTTTTATCACACCAAGTCTTCAAAATCTGGTGTGAATTTTATATTCACAGCACATCTCATTTTGGACCAGCCATATTTTGAGCACTCAAGAGCCACATGTGGCCAGTGGCACAGCAGTGAGCAATGGCCTGACCATGGGTCTGGCAGTGTGGCTTCTTCAAAGTCCAGATTTAAGATGTGACAGGAGACAGCATGGCTCACAGTCAAGACCCTAAACTCTGAAGCCAGATTGTGTGGTTCAGATACTAGCTGTTGAAACTTCCAAGTGCAATCTTTCTGCACCTCAGTTTATTCCTCTATAAAAGAGGGAGTCACCAACAAGACTTCATAGGGATTTTGTAAGTAATAAATTGATTTACAGATGTTAAACACTTAGAAGGGCCTGGCACATGCGAGGTCTGACAATTAAGTTCTCGAACTCATCCTAGAAAAAGTGCTACATGCCTCATTGCTGAATATCACCACGGTCACCTTTGACGTACTCCCCTTGGGAAGTTATGCACTGACCCCAGCGCCTAGTCCACCCTTCAAAGCAATTTTGGAACTCTTTTTCTGGAATGGCCCTCAGAGCTGCCATCGTATTACCCTTGATGTCCTGAATGTCATCAAGATGTCTTCCTTTCAATATTTCCTTTATCTTCGGGTAAAGAAAGGAGTCATGGGGGCCAGATCAGGTGAGTTGGGAGGGTGTTCCAAAACAGTTATTTGTTTACTGGTTAAAACCTCCCTCACAGACAGTGCCGTGTGAGCTGGTGCATTGTTGTGATGCAAGAGTAATGAATTGCTGGTGAAAAGTTCAGGTCGTCTAACTTTTTCACACAGCCTTTTCAGAACTGCCAAAAAGTAAACTTGGTTAACTGTTTGTCCAGTTGGTACAAATTCATAATGAATAATCCCTCTTATATCCGAAAAAGGTTAGCTTCATTGTCTGACCCCATCCGTGTATTGCAAAAATTTTTCTCTTTCACTATAGCCTTCTGTATTTTTCTTTTTCCTATAAATCTATTCATTATTTTCCTCATTCTCTACTCCTAATCTGTAACAGATATCAGTTTCATTTGTCTAGCAACTCAGCCTGAACCCCACAACATCTATATAATAATATACTATTTCCACAGAATGTCACATCCACTTAAATATATATACCACATGTGCTTGCTAATCTTAAACACCTTAAAATGACTGGCTATTCCTTGCCTCCTAACTATTTTTTTTTTAAGATTTTAAAGACCATACCAAAAGCATACTGAGATTAAGGTTTTTTTGTGTTTTTTCTTAATTGGGGAATTGGGGGATGGGAACAGCGCTGGGGAATTGGGGGAAGGGGAACAGACAAGTTGCTGTCCTTTTGTTCTTCAGTCTAGCTGTGGAAGACTTTGCTTCACTGGCCCAAGTTGGCACCATCATTGTGCTCTTCCCGAGCGAGGCAGATCAGTCACCGGCTTCTGGATGGCCACTCACAGTAGCTGCTGACCGCTCACGCTGGCCGCTCATGCTGGCTGCTGGCTACACACGGTAGTCCATGGCAACCCACTGCAGCAGGGGTTGCAGCCTACACCATCACTGGCGACTCACTGGCAGCCCAGCTCCAGGTCAAGCTCATCTTAGCTGTAGAGGGCGGTGTCACTGGCCCTCATATGTGGGATCCGAACTGGGGCCCTCTGGCGTCCCAAGCCAGCTCTTAACCAACGTGCCATTCGGCCAGTCCCCTCTTAACTATTAATAAAGAAAGTCTCAAATCATTCTATGTTCATTAAAAATTCACTTCAGTGTCAAGTGGGTCCTCATTGATGCTTAAGGAAAAAAAAGGTTAGCAACATCATTCTGACTCTTGATTTGGACTGACAGAGCTTTTCTGGTTGTGGAGAATTGGCTGACTTCCATTGTGCACTTTGACGCTTTGTTCCAGGGTCGTATTGGTACACCCATGTTTCATCACCATTGATAACATGGCCCAAAAAAATCTCTTGCCTCTCCAAAAGGTCTTGGTAAACTTTGACTCTCCTTTGCTTTTGTTTGTCGGTAAGCTTCTTTAGGACCATTTTTGCACACACCTTTCTCATGCCAAGATTTTCAGTTAAGATTGTCCTGTTTCTCTATCGATGTTTACTTGGTCTGCTATGCTTCTCACAGTCAGCCGACGATTTTGACGCACAATTCGACAAATTTTTGCAGTGTTTTCGTCAGTTCTGCTCGTTACTGGCTACCCTGATCTCTCTTCATGAGTGACGTGTTCTCTCCCCTCAGAAAAACGTTTAATCCATTTGTACACTGCCATTTTCTTCATGGCATTATCCCCATAAACTTGGACTAACATGTTCCTGATTTCACTTCCACTCTTGCCAAGTTTAACAAGAAATTTAATGTTTGTTTTTTACTCCAAATGAAGCTCAGACATTCTTGTGACAGCACACTAAAACATGCAACAATAATGAACGCCATTCAGCAAGACACCGCCACACGTCAACACGAACAGCTGTGAGACACTGATATACCAAGGTTATGAAATCTCATAGAGCTGTTTGTACAGCGCTGCCAATGTAAGCACACAGTGGCATGTTCACGAACTTAATTGTCAGAGCTCGTATTAAGTGCTTTATGAGTGTTGGCTTTTATTATTTGAAGTTTGTGAAAGAGAAAGTCTCTTAACTCACATTAACAGTTAAAGAATGAAAAACTCCCTTTAAGACTTCCCATTCTCAAACTGGAGATGTCCAGGTGAACATGTGAACACGCACTACCTCTAACAATCACGTGTGATGTAAGATCACTCTGGGTTCTCAAGGGCGAGTGCTCCAACAAGCTTTTGGACACTTCCCAATCTAAACACCCCACATATTTTCATCTTCTCATTTTCCTGTTTTGATCTTTGCAGTGGGTTGACTGGTGTGCCCCTCTCCTCACAAGATATGTTCACCTGAGACCTGTGAATGTGAGCCAATTTGGAAAAAGGGTCTTTGAGATGTAATTAAAGTAGGGATCTCAAGACGAGATCATTCTGGATTATCTGAACAGGGCCTACACCCAACGGCAAGTGTCTTTATAAGAGATGAAAGAGGAGAAGACACAAACACAGAGGAGGCCATGTAAAGATGGAAACGGAGATTGGAATGCACAGCTGGAGCCACCAGAAGCTGAAAGAGACAAGGAAGGATCCTCTCCTAGAAACTTCGGAGGGAGCGTGGCCCTGCTGACACCTTGATTTCGGATTTCCGGCCTCCAGAACTGTGAGAGAATAAATTTCTTTTGTTTTAAGCAATCAAGTTTGTGGTAATTTGTTACGGCAGCCACAGGAAATGAAATATAATCTGTTTGGGGGCCTGTCTCCTCCACCATGAAGGCATAGCTTCTGTTTTCAGATGCCATTTCACAGGATGAAACTGAGGCTTGGAAAGTGGGTGGAGCTGGAACCAGATCTCAGGCCCCCAGAACCTTATCCAAGATCCAGGGGTCACTGTGGAAACTTGAAGGGTATTTTGCCTGTTAAAAAAATATAGAATGCTTGCTGAGTTTTCTTTTAAGGGAGTGGTTGAGAACACGAGCTTTGGTTGGAATCCTGGCTTGGTTGCTTACTTGCTGTGTGGCCTTGGTTAAGAGACTAACTAACCTCTCTGTGCCTCCGTTTCTCCTATAAATGGGGATAACAAGATAAGTCATCTCAGAAGGTTGTGATGTGAAGTATATGAGAATTGATCAACTTTACCATTTGACATAGTTCTGGAAGTCTTTGCAAATGCTGTAAGACAAGAAAAATAAATAAGGTATAAAAATTAAAAGACAAGAGATACAACTGTCATTTGGATCATTCTCAAGGAAAATCTAAGAAAATCGACAAACTCTTTTAATTTAAGAATTTGGCCAGATTGCCTGCCAGAGGTCAGCCAACAAATTTAATAGCATCCATCCACTAGAAATTATAATAGAAATAAGATAAGGAGTTAATAAACTAGAAAAATACCATTGGTATGTACATACACTGGTGATTCTCAGATTTCAATCTTGTTTTTTTTTTTTTTTTTTGTAGAGGGCAGTGTCACTGGCCCTCATATGTGGGATCCGAACCAGGGCCCTCTGGCATCCCAAGCCAGCTCTTAACCAACGTGCCACTCAGCCGGGCCTCAGATTTCAATCTTGAGCCCAGAGCTCCCTCCTGCTTACTTGACATTCCCACTGACATGTCTTGAAGGTTTCTCCAACGCTAAGGGGCTCTGTCAGAATTCTCAACCTTCTTCCCCAGTCTGCTCTTCTGGTTCACATTACTTCCAGTCCCTCCAACCTAAGCTTTCTTCTTGACTCCCCATCAACCTTGTCCAGGCTTCCATCTGATCTTCCCTGCAGTCTATTCCCCCCTGGGCTTCCTACTTTCATCCTTGTCCCCCTAGAGTTCATTCTCCACTCAGAATAAAGTGCAAAATACTTACCACAGCCCTTGATTGCCCAGCCTCATTCTTGCCACTCTACCCCTTGCTCCCTGTGCTCCAGCTGCACAGGCCTTTATGTTTCTCATACTCACCGAGCAATTCCCTACCACGGGGACTTTGCACAAGCTGTTCCTGCTTGCCTTTAAAGCTTTCCCTCCCTTCACCTAGCAGATTCCCAGTCATCCTTTACGTCTCTTCTTAAATGCTCCTTTGACAGAAAAGTCTCTCCTTCCCTCCCGTTCTCCACCCCCAATTAAAATTATGTCTCCACATTCTTATCTTCATGGCACTTGTCAGGTTTATATGATTATTAGTTCAGTGATTCTTAAACTTTTTGGTCACAGGGTCCCTTATATGCTCTTAAAAATGATCGAGGACCCGAAAGAGTTTTTGTTGATGTGGATTATATCTATCAATATTCACTGTATTGGAAATGAACATCGATAAATTTCAGAAATATTTGATTCAATTAAAATAAAACAACTTCATGTTAACATATATCATGATGATGAAAATAATAAAAGCACCTCCCACCTAGGGTTGTAGTGAGACCCATAGGAGGTAACTCTGAGAATCACTCCTGGCATGTTGTATACAATAAACATTTGCTATTATAATTTAGGAAATGTCATTTTCTATTATTACCAACACTTTATTCATGCAATTAATTTCTCCAGAGGCCTGCCTTTTCTGGGCAGTGCTGGGGACATGGTGATGGCCAAGAAGGGCCTGGCCTTGCCTTCATGGGGCACCCAGTCCAGTGGGTCACAGAGTTTTTCCTTTGTGAGGCATTGCCCTTATCACCAGGTCCCTGAAAAGCATTTCTTAAGACTAACTAGGAAGGGCATTGTGGAGAGTGAGAACAGCATGCAAGGAGCTAAATAGTAAGTGGAGAGGGGTACATGCTCTGGCATGGTGACTGGCTATGTGATTGTGTCCATTGCTCTGCTCCCAAGACGTCTCTATCCTATTGCTGGTGAGATGTAGGTATGCCTATCTGGTTCATCTCTTCTCCTTCCCAACCTCTCTTTTTGTATAAAGTTAGTTCCTAGATTCTGGGCTCTTTGAGGGAAATTCCACCTCCAATCTATCCTCAGTCTCTCATGCTGCAGATCCTCCCTTTTACTGTATATCCATTCACAGTAGTAACCGGTTGAAACTTAGGACATCTCAGTAGAAGAGGTGCCCAGGAAGGCGCGGGGTCGACTCCTCCACTATCCCCCATCCAGGAGCCGCCGCTTCGGACCCGGTGAATCAGTCCCCGCAGCTCCCGCGTCATCCTGGCGGATCCGATCCGCGCTATTTCGGGCTTCGGGCGCTATAAATAGAGGCTCGCGGAGCGGAGCCGCCCCCCTCCGTTCGGGCCCCCCTGCGTCCCCGGCCATGCAGCGATAGCCCTGCCGCGCGTCACCGCGGCTAAGTTTAGAGGCGGGAGGGGACGCGAGTCGGGTCACTGCGCCCCTCGGCCGCGCCGCGGTTTCCAGAGCCTTCGGCACAGTGTCTCTCCATCCCAAGCCCAGAGCCTCATGGGTGGAATTAGGGTTTGGGGGGTCCTCCTAGTTTCCATCCCCACCGCACCTCTGCCCAGCTCAGAGAAAACTGGAAGTTGGGATTAGAGGAAGGTTTGGGAGTGGAGCAGGGGCCGGACTTGAGGAATCGCGGGGGAACTTAGGGTTAAGGCTGGAGTTTGAACTTGGAGCTTTTGTGAGAAGGACGCAGAAATCGGAGTGCGGACCGCTGGAAGATTCGAACTCACAATTCTGGGAGCGGGGAAGATTCGAATCCGGTATCCGAAAGCTCAATTTGTCAATCGAGTGTAGAAATCAAATTTGCAAATAACATAGAACCGAGGGCAACTCCCCACTCCTCCCCTTAACTAATGTTAACAGTCTCAGAGTTAAATTAACCGCACGCCGTGGGGCCTTTGCCACACTTTTGCGAAAGAGAACTGAGTCTGGAGAAGCAAAGCGACCAGCCACCGCTTTCCCTGGGGTCTTGTCCCCTTGTGAGTCCTGGAGGAGCAGCTCCTGGTGTCCTCTTGTGGGGCGCCATCGCCCTCTGGCGGAAAACGCCGAGGTGCAGGTCTGGTTGGCAGTTCTTTCCCCAGCGGGAGAAACCGAGTCCCGCCCAGTTTGACTTCATAGGAACGCTCTTTGCGCTTGGATTCAAAGACACATTTCTATGATCCTTTTCTATGTTGCTGGGGCTCAGTTCCCACATTTATCTAAAGAGGGGTGTGTGTGGATATTGTGAGGCCTTAGTTCATAGTAAGTGCTGAATCTACAGTAGATTCTCAGAATAGCTTATTGTACTGTACTCACCTGTTCACTGAAAGGAAGCACTTTATGGCTTCTCTGGCATATCGGAATTGCCAGCGTCACTGCTCTTGTGCTTTGGGGCCATTGTTAAGTAAGAGAAGGGTTACTTGAATTACAAGCACTATGATACCCTGACAGACAATCTGATAACTGAGACAGTTACTAAGTGACTAACGGCGGGGAGCATATACAACGTGGATACGCTGGACAAAGGGATGCTTCATGTCCAGGTGGAATGGAGCAGGACAGTTTGAGAATTCATCATGCTACTCAGAACACTGCTCAATTTAAAACTTCTAAATTGTTTATTTCTGGAATTTTCCATTTAATATTTTCGGGTCATGGTGGACTGCAGATAACTGAAGCTGCAGAAAGCAAAACCGTGGATAAGGGAGGACCGTGTTTTGATGGTAATCTAGTTGATGACAATATTTTTTATTTATAAAGTCCTTCCTGTGACGGTGTGGTCCCCTCCACCATCGCCTGCTTCGCAGCACTGTATTTTATCTTTATAGCATGCATGGCTGTCTGAAAATCTTATTTGTGTATTTCTTTCTTGTGGCCTGTGTGTCCCATAAGAATATCAGTTCCAAAGGGCAGGGACCTGGTCTGATTTACTCACAGCTGTGTCCCCAGTGCCTGCACATAGTAGGTGCTCAGTACGTAATTATTCAAGGAATGAGTGAACCAGTCCATCTCAAGACAGGTCTCTGTGGTCTTATTGAGTTCTCACAGTCGCTGCAGTTACAGATGGGGAAACTGAGGCTCCCAGGGGTAAAGTCGCTTGCCTTAGGGTTTGGTATCTGTTCTTTGTTCATTCACACAACACTGGGTTTGTAGCTCCTTCTGGGTGCCCGGTCCTGTGTGAGGGCATTGTGATATAGTGGCGGCCACTACAGCTGCTGCCACCCAGGACTTGATCAAGGGCTGTTTTATTTATCTAACAAACGAATAGAGCACCACATGCCCAGTACAGTTTTGGGCACTTTACACATAACTCATTCCTTACTCGTAATAATTATATTATTACTATCCCCATTTTAGACATGAGCAAACTGACACACGCAGAGAAGCCGAGTTGCTGGTGCTAGGTCACACTGCTAGTAAGTGATCCTGGGAGAAAATTACAGCCAGTGATGATACTGCTTATGAAGGAAGGAGAACCGGGGGATGGTAGACTTCTCATTAGCAACCCAGAAGTTGGGGAGATGTAGGACCACTATCTTCTAACTTTGCCAGAAAAATTACTAGGAACCCAGAACTTGAGATTCCATTGTAAGGGAGTTACTATCCACAATGGTCTCTGAAAGAATTAGAAAATAATGTACTCTAGCAAGAAGTAAAATGAATTCAGAAGGAAGAAGGTTATAAAAAGTAACAGAACCATTATGGATTGAATTGTGTCCCCTCAGAAAGATATATTGAAGTCCAAGCCTCAGAATGTGACCTTGTTTGGAAATAAGGTCTTTACAGAGATGATCAAATTAAAATGAGGTCATTAGGGTGGGCCCTAATCCAATATGACTGATGTCTTATAAAAGAAGGAAATTTGGACACAGAGATAGACAGGCACAGAGGGAAGATGATGTGAAGAGACACATGGCTGCCATCTACAAGCCAAGGAACACCTGAGGTTACTAGAAGCGAGGAGAGAGATCTGTAGCATGTCCTTCCCTAGCAGGGTCAGAGGGAGCATGGCCCTGCCAACACCTTGATTTTGGACTTCCAGCTTCTAGAACTGTGAAACAATAAATTTCTATTGTTTAACCCACTCTATTTTTGTTACTTGGTTACAGCAGTCCTAGGAAACTAATACAAACCTGTATCTTCTTGTAATTAATCCATCAATTCAATGCCATTCCAATCTCCATCCCAATAGAATTAAAATTTTTCGTGGAACTAGAAAAGCAGCTGCTAAAATCCATCCAGAAGAGAAAATGTACAAGAATGGTAAAGACAGATTTGAAACTGATCAGAAGGGGGCTTACCTGATGTTACATCAAAATATATCAAAATAATATAATGAAGGGAGGAAGATATAGAGATCAATGGAACATAGTAGAAATGTCAGAAATAGACCTGTATATGTATGGAAATTATGTCCATGATAAAGGTGAAATATTAAAATGGGGGAAAGGATTGACTTTTTAAATAACTGTAATTGTGACAATTGGCTAAACCCACTATAAATCCCTGCCTTAGTGCATTTTCAAAAATAGGTCTCATATGGATTAAAGACAGAAACAAAACCCAAACTAGGAAAGTATTAAAAGAAATGATAGAATATATTTATGACCTTGGGATATGACAGGCCTCTTAAACAACACACCAAAAGCAAAAGTCAGATGGAATAGATGGATAAATATGTACGAATAAACACTAAGAACTTCCGTGTGACAAAAGTAAATAAATTAATAAATAAATACGTTAAAATACAAAGTACAAACTAGAAGGAAATATTTGGAATGTATGTAACTGACTAAGAGAATCGGAAATCATGAAGTACTCCTACAAATTAATAGTAATAAAAGAGGCATACAACCCCATTTTAAAAGTGGGCTAAGGATATGAGCAAGCAATTCACAGCAGACAAAATATATGAGACCAGTAAACTCACAAAAACATGTTCTCTCTCCTTAGTAATCAGAGTTGCAAGTTAGAACAGCGTGATACTATCCTTTCAGGAAATGACTAATACTAACTCATCAACCAGGTCTCTGCTTAGGTGTCCCTTCCTCCACGAAACCTTTCCTGACCTTGTGGCTGGGTTAGGTTCCCACTACCCCACACACCCCCACACACCCTGCCACTGTCCACTGGGGTCTCCTATTCCAGCCCTGCCCACTCGGAGTCGTCACTGTTTGGAGCCCGGTCTGTCTTTCCCACTGGACTATGAGCTCCAGGAGAGCAGCACAGGGCTATCTATTGTTAGTCACCGGTGTGTCACTCGCGCTATCCCACCCAGGGCCGGAACAGAGGAGGCATTTGGGGAATATGTGTGGAATAAATGAATGAATGGGGAAACTGAGGCTAAGTCAATGGTAGAGTTGGGATTCAAACTCAACGCTGCACAGAAAGAAGAAACATAGTTTGATCTCCCACCATCTCTTCTTCACTGCACCCTGTCTGGAGCCCGCGTGCATAAGAGGCGCTCGATCAGGGCACTGAAATTGAGCTGCTTGGCAACCAGAGACGCTCAGGCCCACAGACCAAAGGGCTCTCTCCAACCCAAGCCTCCGCAGTCCTCCACAACCATAGAGAGCTGAGCAGGGGCGGTCTTCTGGGGCATGGTGAGGGCGGGCTCGAGGGCTAGAGAGGCCGGAAGTGCTGTGAGTCTGGGGACTCACTGTCCTATCCGGCAGGGGAACTCCTTATCCCTCTCTGGTTTTTACCCAGCGGTTCAGGGAGAGGAGGTAAGTACTCCCGGCGCCAACATTGCGGGGTCAGGGCAACAGGGAAGGGAAAGGGGGGGGGGGAGTGCCCATGGCGATTGGCAGCCGCGGAAGCCAATCAATCGTTGCGGTGTCAGAGATAGACGTGAAGCAAGGGGAGGGCATTCAGGTGCGAGCCCTGGGGCGGGGTGGACGGAGGTTGGGGACAGTGGCCAAGTCCAGCGCAAGGAAGGCGGGCAATGGTGGGGGCCGGGCGAATCGAACGTAGAGAACTTGAGGGGCGGGGCGATGGAATGTGAGAACCAGTAAGGGGCAGGGCAAGCCGCAGGTGGAGGCTCCATCGCGGGGCTTTAAGGAACCTGGTGTTTTAAACTTGATGCTGTGGAGCTCTGGGACTTTGGGGGATGGCTGTGAGTGGGGATACTTGCTGGGGGGATGGGAATGCAGACTCTGATTTCTCACTCGCTCCCGCTGCCACGTCTTCATTTACAGGCCCCAGAGGAACCTCGGGATGGATGAAGAGGGAGTGCGGCAGCCCGCTGGGCCACCTACAAGAAAGAAATTCTTCATACCACTGGATGAGGATGAGGTCCCTCCTCCCAGGGTAGGACGAGAAGATGGGAGGACCGCTGGGAGGATGGCGTAGAGGGGGTTCAGAAGAAGGGGCCTGTGGGGCCGCGATATGGATTAGGACATTTTGGGACCTAGGTCACTTTGGGAAATCAGCCCTTTGCTCTGCGCAAGTCTCAGTTTCCCTATCTGTAAAATGTCATGGTGATTCTAAGAGAGGGCTAAGGCACAGGCCACAAACTGGCAACCAGTAAGTGGTCCCAGGAGGTGTTTTATATGGCCGGTACTGTGGTTTTGTAAGGCATGAATTTATTGCTGACATTTAAGAATTAGAAGGCTTTTTTGGGGAAAAATAGCTTGTAGTTTTGACATTTCTTGGTAAATTGAAGGATCTGACAACACTGAGGTCTTGTTCCCACAGGGAAACAATTGGCTGGTGCTGAGTACTGGCTGCTACTTACGTGCTGTGAAGAAAAAACAAGTGGGCTAAGGAAATAGGGTATGATGAGCGAGAGGTGCTACCTCTCAGTTAAGGGACTGCTTCTCTGAGGAGGTGACATCTTGGCAGATATGTGAGGGAGTGAGCTATCTCTGGGGAGAGGGAACAGCCAATGCAAAGGCCCTAGGGCCAGAGAGAGCCTGACAAGTTTGAGGGCAGCAAGAAGGCCTTGGGGCTGGAGGAGAGAAAGCAAGGGGGGAGAAGTAGGAGGGGAGGTCCCTGAGGCAAGAGGCAGAGACATATCTTCTAGAGTCTCATAGACTATGGTGACAGCTTTGGCTTTTACTCTGAGGTAGGAACCACCTGAGGGCTCTGATCAGAGGAGGGACATGATTTGACAGTGTGGGGACAAGGGTGTAGTCAGGGTGTAGTCAGGGATTTGGTGAGGAGGTGACAACAGTGGTCCAAGGGACAGAAGATGGTGGCTGCGACCAGAGTAGAGGCCAAGGTGTGAGGAGAGTAGGCTTGATTCAGATTTTTTTTTTAAGATTTTATTGGGGAATTTGGGGAGGGCAACAGCATTGGGGAACCGGGGAAGGGGAACAGACAAGTTGCTGTCCTTTTGTTCTTCAGTCTAGTTGTGGAGGACGTCGCTTCACTGGCCCATGTTGGTATTCCCGGGTGAGGCAGTCACTCACTGGACATTGAACGGCCGCTCATGGCGGCTCACGGCAGCTCACGAAAGCATACGCCAGCTGCCAGCCAGCCCCACTGAAGCCTACGCCATCACCGGCGACTCATGACAGCCCAGCTCCAGGTTGAGCTGTTGTTCACCATCTTAGCTGTAGAGGGCGCATCGTCACTGGCCCTCATGTGGGATCCGAACCAGGGCCCTGCTGCTCAAAGCTGGTGTCCCAAACCAACTCCTAACCAACGCGCCACTTGGCCAGCTCCTTGATTCAGATTTTGATCTCTGCCCCCATCTCTCCCCACAGGCCAAGTCCTTATTCAGATCCACACGGAGCCATCCCACCGTGGAGACCTCGGCCCAGGCAGCCCCTCAGAACTATGCTGAGTATGCCATCTCGGGACCTGCAGGAGGGGCTGGAGCCACACATTCCTCGGGCCCAGAATCCCAGGCAGGAGAGACCCCCAACCAGACCCTGAAACCAGGGACAAAATCCAACAGCATCATTGTGAGCCCCCGGCAGGTGAGGAGGGGGATGGAGAAGTGGGGCTTTGAGCGTTTTGGTGGGAAACACGGTAATATGCCTGGCTTTCTGGTGGGTAGTGGAAGGAGGTCTGAATTATAGCCATTGTACTCTTGGCAGTGCCATTCATTCATTCAACTACTGTGTGTGAGTTGAGGACACCCTATGTCTGATTATTTTGCTATAACAAAAATACCATAGGCTCGGTGGCTTAAACAATAAACATTTATTTCTTACAATTCTGGAGGCTGGGAAGGCCAAGATCAAGGCACCAGCAGACTCAGTGTCTGGTGAAGTTCATAGACAGCTATCTTCTCACTGTGTTCTCACAGTGAATGAAGGGGCATGGGTGCTCTTTAGGGTCTCTTTTATTAGGGTACTAATCCCATTCATGAGGGCTCCATTGTCATGGCCTAATCACCTCCTAAAATGAAAAGGAATGAAGTCCTGACACACGCTACAACACGATGAACCTTGGAGGTTAGGATTTCAACATATGAATTTTGGGGGACAAGCATTCAGTCCATAACACCCCGACTCTTCTTCTTGGGGTGTGACTATGTTAGTGCAGCTACATTTCCTATCCTGGGTTTGTTCCCTCATGCAAAAACTATTTATTGAATATAGGTCCGAGTTCGAATCCTGTGCTGCTACACAATAGCTGTGTGATCTTGGGCAAGTGACTTAACCTATCTGTGCCTTTAAAATGGGGGTTCATCCACTTATAGTCCACAAATATGTTCAGAGGTTGCCAGATACTGTACTAGGCTCTGGCGATAGAGTGATGGAAAGGAAACAGATAAAGCCTCTGCCATTGATGGAACTGACATTTTTTATACAAAGACAATGAATGATAAGACCCAAAAATGTGAAAAGATACTCAATATCGTCAACCATCAGGGAAATGCAAATCAAAACCACAATGAGGGCCAGCTGAATGGCGCAATGGTTAAGAGCTGGCTTGGGACACCAGAGGGCCCCGGTTTGGATCCCACATGTGAGGGCCAGTGACATCGCCCTCTACAGCTAAGATGCTGAACAACAGCTCAACCTGGAGCTGGGCTGCCGTGAGTCGCCGGCGACGGCGTAGGCTGCAGCCCCTGCGGCAGTGGGTTGCCATGGGCTACCGTGTGTAGCCAGCAGCCAGCGTGAGTGGCTAGCAGCCGCCGCGAGTGGCCGTCCAGAAGCCGGCGACTGATCTGCCTCGCCCAGGAAGAGCGCAATGATGGTGCCAACTTGGGCTGGTGAAGCAACGTCCTCCACAACTAGACTGAAGAACAAAAGGACAGCAACTTGTCTGTTCTCCTTCCCCCAATTCCCCAGTGCTGTTCCCATCCCCCCAATTCCCCAATAAAAATCTTAAAAAAAAAAAAACACAATGAGATCCCACTTCACACCTACTAGGATGGCTATCATCAAAAGGACAGGCAGTAACAAGGGTTGTGAGGCTGTGGAGGAATTGGAACCCTCAGACATGGCTGGTGGGAATGTACAATGATGCATCCACCTTGGAAAACAGTCTTGCTGTTCTTCAGACTTTTAAACATAGAGTTAGCATTTGCCCTGACACGTCCACTTCTAGGTATATATCCAGATAAATGAAATTATACGTCCACAAAATCTTGTACACAAATGTTCACAGCAGCATTATTCACAGTAGCCAAAAACTGGACACAACTCAAGTGTTTATCACCTGATGACTGGTTTATTTCACTGAGCATTCTGCTTTTCAGGTTCATCGTGTTGTAGCGTGTGTCAGGACTTCATTCCTTTTCATTGCTGAATAGTATTCCATTCTGTGGATTTTTTGTTTATCCATGCATCCGTTGGTGGACAATCCATTGGGTTGTTTGTACTTCTTAATTATTGTGAAAATGCTGCTGTGAACGTTTGCCTACAGGTTTTTGTGTAGATATAGGTTTTCTGGTTTCTTGGGTGGATTTGCTGGGTGTATGGTAGCTCTATGTTCAACTATTTCAGGAACTCCCACGCTATTTTCTAAAACTGCATCATTTTACATTCTCACGAGCAGTGTATGAAGGTTCCAATTTCGCCATGTCCTCACCACCTGTCATTGTTTTTTTGATTGTGGCCATATCCTTTAAAAATTAGAATGCGGGCTGGCCGAGTGGCTCAGTTGGTTAAGAGCACAAGCTCTGAGCTACAGGGTCACCAGTGCGATTCCCACATGGGCCAGTGAGCTGCGCCCGAGCTGAGCTGCCACTGAGCTGGTGAGAGCACGTGCTCTTAGCAGCAAGGTTGCAGGTTCGAAACCCGTATGGGATGGTGGGCTGCGCCCTCTTCCCCCCGCCTCCCCCAGCTAAGATTGAACACAGCACCTTGAGCTGAGCAGCCGCGGGCAGCCAGATGGCTCAGTGTGCAACAAGGTTGCCAGTTTGACTCCCACATGGGATTGTGGACGACTACCCCTCCCCACCCCGCAACTAGATTGGAAGTGGCGACTGGACTTAGAACTGAGCTTGCGCCCTCCACAACTAAGATTGAAGGACAACAACTTGACTTGGAGCTGATGGGTCCTGGAAAAACACAATGTTCCCCTTCCCCAATTCCCTAATGAAATCTTAAAAAAAAAAAAAAATTAGAGTAGGATCCTGCCCTTCCCTTGCTCAAAAGCTTTTCCATTGCTCCCAGGTGCCTCAGGTCAGTTGGCCCAGGGCCTGTGGGACCTGGGACCCCTGCAGACCCTCCTGCCCCAGCTGCTCTGATCAACCCACACCCCATCATGAGAGCAGGTCCTAAACTCTTATTAGAACCGAATTCCACCTTACTTGGAAATTACACGTTGATCTCTGAGATTATTTTGTTTAATGTCTGTGTGGGGGGATTTTTGTCCATGTTAGTCACTGTTGTATCCCTAGCACTTAGACACACAGTAGGTACTCAATAAATACTTACTGGATAGATTAGAGCCTGACTTGTTCAGAGAATTTTGATCTTGGGCTACAGATTACTTTCTGCGATGATCTGAGAGAGAGAAGCCTGCTGAGCAGACGCCAGGCTGGGGGGATGGGGGGCAGGGGGCTGACCCGTGGAGCTACATGAAGCTTCCTCCTGAAGGCACTGGGGAGCCCCTGCAGGGTTTAGAGCAGGGGAGGGGAAGGCTTGTGTTTTAGGAAGATCCCGCTGGCTACTGTTTGGAGGGTGGTTGGGAGGGGACACCAGTGGGGCAGGAAACCAGGAGGAGGCTAGGTGGGGACTGGACAGGGGCTGTGGCAGTGGAGGAGGAGACATTTATGCGGGATGCTTACCTAGAGGAGAAGAGGGAGACGGAGTTGTCCATGACCAGGCCTGGGTCTCTGGATGGGGGTGGGGTGGTTGTCCTGAGATGGGACTGGGAAGAGGAGCAGGTATGGGGCAGATGCTAAGGGCAGTTTGGATGCAGTGAGGTGAAATCCAGAGGGAAATTTTCAGTGGACCACAAGATGCCCAGGTTGGGCTGGGAGAAAGGGCTGAGCTGGAGACAGACCTGGGGACCCTTAAGTTAAGGCCTAGAGCTGTTGGGGAGGGGCCTAGGTCATAGCTGGAGTACCAAGGACATTCCAGACTGAGGACAGGGAGTCCGGGGAGAGGAGGAGAGCAAAGCTGCAAGACGGAGCTCGGCACAGGGCAGGAGGAGGGTGGAGAGGTGTTGAAAGAGGTGGGGGGAGGGGAGCCATGGCGTGGCAGTGGTCCCAGGGTCATTCCTTTCATGGCTTTGGCCCTTCCTTCCTCCCCAGAGGGGCAACCCTGTGCTGAAGTTCGTGCGCAATGTGCCCTGGGAATTTGGCGACGTGATTCCTGACTACGTGCTGGGCCAGAGCACCTGTGCCCTCTTTCTCAGGTGAGCTCTGTGGGGCTGCCCCACCTTCCAGGAAGGCCTGGGAGGGTATGATGTGGTGTTCTGGGCTATTCGGTGGGAGACCTTCGGGCATGTCCCTGTTGGCTTTGGGCCTAGAGGTGCCTGGAAGTCTCTGGAGCAACAAGAGCAACGGGCCCAGGCTCTGTGTGTGAGGGAATTGGGGCCGGGGGCCTGGACTCTTGGGTCTGAGCACGTTGGGGGCTGGGTCACTCATGTCCCAGACTGAGTGACTCCAAGATCCAGGACTGAAGTCGACAAGAGCCAGGATTTCTCTAAGCTCTACTCTGTTAAACAAGTTCCACTTGCACTCTGGGGGGGCCTCTCTCCAGACAGAACCAGAAGGGGGAAGTGAAATTTCTAAGTTCCTATCCTCCCTGCAGGGTATGAGAGCTGGCTGCTGCTGCGCAGACATCCCCTAGCTCCCCAGGTGGAGGAGCCCCCCCATCCTCCCGCCAGTGTCCTCTGAGGCTAAAGCCCATAGTCCTGGGGATGGGCCCTACTTCCCAAGACCAGCTGTGCAGCATACTTTGGTCCACATTCTCTAGGGCACTGGTCTCCTCGTCTCCACCCGAAACTCCCAATCTCTTCCCTTCAATGAAAAACCTGGGGGTGTCCAACCTTTCAGGGAGCCAGAGCCAAGCAGCCCTCACTGCCAAACCCCTCTGTGCCCTTTCTTTGAAAGGTGACTCTAGACAAGTCACTTAACCTCTCTGAGCCTCAGTCCCAGCAAAGCTGCCCAAGCTTTCTGCATTCTAGTGAGGGTGAAGAAGGGCTCCTGGGGACTTGGGGACATGAGACCTCCCATCCTCTCCCTGTCCCCTGCCCTCAGCCTCCGCTACCACAACCTCCATCCAGACTACATCCACAGCCGGCTGCAGAGTCTCGGGAAGAACTTTGCCTTGCGTGTCCTGCTCGTCCAGGTGGATGTGGTAAGCAGGGGTTCCTGCCCACCAGCCTCACTGCCCCCATCTGTACAATGGGGAGCGGTGGGTGTCACGGTAGCCAAGTGGACTACTGAATCCCTTCCAAGGAGAAATGCAAGTTAAAACCTCAGTGAGGAACATTTTTTCACATCCAAGATTGACACCCTGTGTTGGCAAGGAGGTGGGAGGGTAAATGATCCATCTCTTCCTTCCCCACACCTGCTTCAGCTAGTCCCAGACCTCTGCCACCTAATTACTTCTTGAATCTGTTTTATCCTCTCTACCTTCACAGCCTGGCCTGATGCAAGCCCCTTCTCCTACCTGGGTCCCTGCCTCAGCCTCTTACCTTGTCTTATGGTCTCCAGCCTTGACCCCTTCCATCTTTATAGCAGCCAGAGGGATCTTTCTAAAGCATTGATGTGGTAGCAAAACCCCTAAATGGCTCTCCAGTGCCCTCCATGGCCCTTGAGGCCCTGTGTGACCCGACTGACCCCTGTCCAACTTGTTGGGCTTATGTCTCAGCTTCTGTGTGAAAATCCTTTCTTTCGCATCCTCTATCCCATATTGACTGAACTGCAGTTCTTCAAGTCCTCCTTCACCTCCCATCCTTGCACATGTTCTTCCCTATGTCCAAGATTCCCTTTTCGGCTTTCCTTTGCTGACTTTACTCTTCAACCTCCTTCAGTTCTCAGCTCAGATGTCCCCTCCTCCAGGAAGCCCTCCCTGATCCCTCGGACAGGTCAGACACTCCTCTGGCTCCCTGACCCGAGCCCTGGCCACTCTGGGTTATCACTGTCTGGGGATGGGTCTGTCCCCCTCTTCAGACTGTGAGCCCTGGGAGGGCAGAGCCAGGGCTGTCTCAGTCACTGCTGGGTCCCGGCACTGCCCAGCACAAGCCAGTCACCCAGTCAGAACGTAGGGAGTGTCAGTTGAATGGAAGGCTCCTGGCACTCTAAGCTACTGTGTTTTTAAAACTATAGTTCCTTGCTCCCTCCCAGATCTCTCATTCTGATTTTCTTCTGTACCCAGAAAGATCCTCGGCAGGCCCTCAAGGAGCTAGCTAAGATGTGCATCCTGGCTGACTGCACCCTGATCCTTGCCTGGAGGTGAGATCCTGACTCCCCCAAGGTCAGGCTGTGTCCTCAGAGTCATTCCCCTCCCCCCAATCTTCTCAGCCCTTCTCTTCTCCCGTGAAGTGTCTGTGTGAGCCTGGTCCAGCACTGCCTTTCTCTGGGCCTCAATTTCTTCATCTGTAAAACAGGGTCTTAATATCTTTCTTCTAGGGATGTAGGCACAAAGGCAGGTGAGGTAGGTCATATTCCCAGCACCGTACTGGGTGGGCACTTAGGAGTTAAATGTAAAATCTGGCTGAATAATTAGTTCCATGTCTAGGTTTCCGAAGACCATTTAGATTGGTTCTCCAATTGGAAAAAAAGATATCCCTTCCTCACACCACAAACCAAATGTAAATCCTGATGAATTATAAAAACTACAATAAAAGTGTAATAAGAAAGCTTAAGGGAGGATATTTTTTATAATCTTGGGGTATGAAAAATCTTTCAAAGCAAGATACAAACCTCCAAATCCATGATGGAAAAGGTTGGCTGATTTGAGAAAATTAAAAATTAAAACCTTCCAGGTAGTAAGAATATTGTAAACAAAGTTAGAAGGCAAATGACAAACTGAGAAAAATCTTTTTGTGTGTATAACAGACTTAAGATCCCTAATTTATATATGGACATGTAAATTATATTTATACAGCACAAATATATTTAAATGTTTATATTCATATGAATATATTTAAACATATTCATTATATATTTATATATATACAGAACCTCCTGCAAATCGATAAGAAAAAGGTGGCCACATTTTTTTTAAAGTCCAATACAGGTGGCTAAAAACACATGAAAATTCATCAACCATACAGCTTATCAGGAAGAAGTAAATTTTGAAAAGTGAGGTGCCTTTTTTCACCCATTAATTTGGTGATAACGTCAAAATGGATGATATGAAATGGGCACCTGCATGTTGGTTAGCTGGAGACTTGATTGGCTATTAAAACAAAAAACAGACACAGAAATTCCTTCACTCGGAATTTCTCCTTTTTGATGAGCCCTGCTTGTGTGTGCAAATCCACTATGATGCCGTGGTGTCCGTAGAAGTTACAGAACCCAACAGTATCCTGTTGTTATTTACATATAATAGGAAGGAAACAAGCTCTGTTAATGAACAGACGTGGATATGAGTAAACTGAAGGGGGCTCCTGGGCTCCAGGCTCTGGATCCTCTGGGGAGGGTAGGAGGACTAGGCAGTGAGGGAAGGGAATTTTTATTCTCTGCACAACTATTTTGCTTCCGAATATATCACGGCTAAACTTTGTTTTATTAAAGAACAGGTAACATATTCATGTAGTTCAAAATTAGAAAGCAATATAAAAATGGTATATGTATATATCAGCATACAAGGTCTGAACTTAAATTCGCGAACTTGTTGCAAGGATGTTGCTAACCTTTTTGATATGAGAGGGATTATTCATTATGAATTTGTACCAACTGGACAGTTAACCAAATTTACTATTTGAAAGTGCTGAAAAGGCTGCATGAAAAAGTTAGACGGCCTGAAATTTTGCCAACAATTCATGGCTCTTGCATCACGACAATGCATCAGTTCACACAGCACTGTTTGTGAGGGAGGTTTTAGCCAGTAAACAAATAAATTGGAACACCCTCCCTACTCACCTGATCTGGCCCCCAATGACTTCTTTCTTTACCTGAAGATAAAGGAAATATTGAAAGGAAGACATTTTTATGACATTCAGGACATCAAGGGTAATACGATGACAGCTCTGATGGCCAGTCCAGAAAAAGAGTTCCAAAATTGCTTTGAAGGGTGGACTAGGCACTGGAGTCAGTGCATAACTTCCAAGGGAAGTACTTCGAAGGTGACCGTAGTGATACTCAGCAATGAGGTATGTAGCACTTTTTCTAGGATGAGTTTGCGAACGTAATTTTCAGACCTCGTGTGTGTGTGTGTGTGTGTGTGTGTGTGTGTACACACAAACACTGTATCGGCAGTATATACACTGAGAAGTCTCTCTTCTACCCCTTCTTGTTGTTCCTTGATTTCTTTCCAATGTTTCTATAAAACGCAAGTAGCACGTGTGAAAACATCTTAGTTTTCTTCCCTTCTTAGAAGTAAGCATACAATGTACATATGCTCCTCAACTTACGATGGGGTTACATCCCAGTAAACCCATCATAAATTCAAAATATCGTAAGTAAAAAATGCATTTAAGGGGGCCGGCCGAGTGGCGCGATGGTTAAGAACTCGCTTGGGATGCCAGAGGGCCCCGGTTCGGATCCCACATATGAGGGCCAGTGAACACTGCCC